GCACAGCTGGGGGTGGGGGGTACTGCTTTGTGTACTCTGGGGGAAGTATGGGGGGCATGTGCCCCCTGGAGCTGTGGGGGTTGGGCCAGGGCTGTGCTCAGGTAGGCTGCAGTGGGTGACAGCACTACAGTGGGGGGTGGGGGCTACAGCCACCTTAATTTGCTGTAGCTGGCTGGTAGCGCCCCTTCCCAGCACCACTGCCTCCACTCGCTCTGGTACAAGACACATTGTGTAATTGGAAAAGAAATGAATGCGTATGAACTCTTAGAAAATTCATATTTCTGTTCACTTCATGGAGAAACTATCTTGTTTAATTTAGGCCACATGTTATTTTCCACCTGACTTGCTCACCTGTGTTTAGGGGCTTGGTGATTTTTAAGTCACCTGTCTGTTTTGGGGCTAAGTGCATCCATCTTATCTTCACACAGAAAAAGTGTATTCCCATACCTGGAAACTTTTTTTTTTTACACATAACTTACATGAATTGTGTATTTCTAAAAATAAATATTAGACAAGTATGAAAACTGCTAGTTTGCAGCTTAGTTTAGGTTTTTCCAAATCATTATTAGAGAGGAAAGGACTTAATAGGTTGGTATCATTTACTGGACCAGCTGTGTAGTTGGATAAAGTTAAACAAGTTTTCGAATACAAGACATTTCTTCTCAGGACCAGACTATTCTGTACAGAACAGAATCTGGTTGCACTTCTAGGAGGGCCTCTTAAGGGTGAGGAGCATGCTATCCCTATGTGACGGAAGAGTAGGAAATGCAACAGGAGACCTGAGGAAGATCCTGCAGAAGAATTTCTTGCATTTGAAAGCTTGTCTAACTTTATCCCAACTGCATAGTTGATCTAATAAAAGATATCACCCTAAGAAATCTTTGCCTCTCGCATAGTTTCAGGACCATCATGGCTACAGAATCACTCTTACACTACCACTTGGTGTTTCTTCCTTTCTGAAGTTTACTCCATTTAAAATTTTTATTTGGGTAGTGGTTATTTAGTGGCCATTATATGGTGTTTTGTTGTCAAATAAATTTATTGTAGGTTCTGTTTTCTTAGTGTCTGATTGGTATGAACCAAGAATTTATTTTAAGCACACTTGACTAGTACTATTGCTAGGGAAGAGGGGAGTCTCTAACTGCGTTGGTCTAGGAAACCTGCTGTTGGTGATCGTATTTAAATATGTTTGTTGTTGGCATAGTTTTGCCACTGTTGTGGCAACAACCACAACAGTTCCTTGTAAATTGAATACCTTTTATGAAATACATGACGCACAGTTGCACAAGGAAGTTACTGGAACAAAATACTTTCCTGCACCTAAGTTACTTTATCAGTTCAAATTTATCTAAAGCCTGTTTGAATTTTCGGTAACAGATGATAATTTAAGATTTCTGAAAATACAACACAGAATAGATGCAGGTTACTACATACTTGAGTGGGTATGTTAAATAGGGCAGGTTTACAAAAGGCAAAGGCACAGAAGGGTTACCTTTTTGCTTTTTTAAAGAAAATCCTTTCCTTTGCCTCTGTTCTCTTTCTTCAGGGTTTGATTCTACAGGTACGTAAATGTTTGCAGGATTAGGCTTTGAACCATGTTCCATGATGCAGGAAACATGGTTTATACTTGTATATAAAATTCTTGAAATTATTCTGAATGTTTTGTAAGCAATGCCATGTACCTTTCTTCACTGCTATGTTCTCATGATCCTGTGAATCCAGCTCCCTTCCTTGTTCCATGAGTACCACGTTCATGCCCATTATCATGTCAGGAAGATTGCCACTACTAGGAGACAGAACGAATTCATACTTCTTTATTTGTTCATGCACAGAAATGTGAATTCAGGAAAAAAGTGGGGAGTGAAGGAGATATAGAGGTGGGATAATTAGGGTATGGGGTAGATATAGGGTAGAAAGAGATCACTGTCTTGAGCTCATCAGAAGAATGGTTGTTTCTGTGAAGAGGGCAAATCAGAGGTCTGGGCTCTGGATTGGTTTCCCCCCTCCCCCATATCAAAGAGAAGCCCAAAAAGTTGTGTGTAAACTTTGGACAGGAACATTCATGCACAGGAAGCAGTTCCATTCATTGCTTGATGAAGCTTTCAAGTGATGGGACCATTTTCGTTTTTGAAATTTGGATGAATCTCTAACCTGAAGTATGTTTAGCACTGGCCTGTCTAAAAGAAGATGAAGGTGGCCATAGAAGTGGTTGAAGAAGCTTGCAAATAAAAGAAGATTGTCAAGATGGAGGGGTCTGGAAAGAACGGTGTAGTGTCATTCTCTAAGATACAGAAGGAAAAATGGTCTCGGGGTCAGTCCATAAGTCCTAGAACTGGTAATCAAAAGAGTTGGGCTGATTTTGGGATCTTTCATCCTGTACAGAACAGAAGCTGGCTGCTTTTTCAGGAGGTGCAGGAGCAAGCTATCCTGATGCGACAGAGGAATGGGAAGTGCAGCAGGGGACCAGCCTGGCTAGACAGCAATCTCTTTAATGAGTTGAAACTCAAACAGGAATCTTACAAAAAGTGTAAACTTGGTCACAATAATAGGAAGCAATATAAGTGTAGCACATGGGCAAGCAGGGAGAAAAGGAAGGCTAAGGCACAATTTGAGATGCAGCTAGTAAAGGACATAAAAGGCAGTAAAAGAAAGTCTATGAGTATGTTAAAGAGGAAGGCTAGAGAAACCATAGGTCCCTTACATGGGGCAAAAGTTAATCTAGTTGTGGATGATGCAGAGAAGGCTGAAGTATTTAATGCCTTTTTTATATTGGTGTTCACAAATAGTGGCAGCTACCAGTTAAGTGCGTTTGATGGCAAAGATAGGGAAGGAGACAGTCTAGAGTAGCGGTTCCCAACCTTGGGTTGCAACCCAAATGAGGGTCTCGGGGGCAATGCCAGCAGCGCTGCAAACAAAGGATGAGCATGCTGGGAACTCCCCTGCTCCTGGGCTGCTGTTCCACTCTGCTCCCAGCAGCGGGTCATGGCAAAAAAAAGTTGGGAACCACTGGCTTAGAGTAATGGCAGAACAGGTTAGGGATTACTTACAGGAGCTAGATGCTTTCAAGTTGGCAGGGCTGGTTACTGAGAAACCAGCTCTGCCATCCTAGGTTACTGAAGAAACTGGCTGAAGTAATCTTGGAGCCAGTGGTTAGCCTCTGAGAATGGGTGGAGGTCAGGTGAGGTCCCAGATGACTGGAAAAGGGCAAATATAGTGCCCATCTTTAAGAAAGGGAAGAAGGAAAATCTGGGGAGCTACAGATCAGTCAGCTTGATTTTGATACCCAGAAAGCTCAGGGAGCAGGTGTTCAAGTAATCTATTGTGATTCTCCAAGAGAAGAACAAGGTGGTCAAAAACAGCCAGCATGGATTCACCACAAGGAAGATGAAGGTGGCCTGACCAATCTGATTTCCTTCTATGATAAAGTAACAGACTCGGTAGATATGGGGGAGAGCAGTGGATGTGTGACGCATCTTGACT